GGGATGGCAGCAGGGGAGCTTCCTTCCAGGTTCTGGGACCGGCTCAGCTTCTCTGCCCTAGGAACTTGGGATGGTGGTAGGGGAACTTTCTTCCCGGTGGTGGGACTGGCTGAGCTTCTCTTGAAAAGACACATTCTTATGACCCCTCCCACACACACACACTCCATTTCACTTCAGACACATTTATTCCACCATTCTTGTCATTTTCTGGAGCAGTTCTGGTCATCCGTTTTGTCAGTGTCTTTAGTTGTGTGGTTGAAGCTGACTCAAGGTCCCAAGTCAGTTAAAAATATTTATCTTTCATGGTCATTTTGACTTTGGAGAAGAGCCAGAAGTTGCACAGTGCCAGATCTAGTTAATATACTGTAATGTTTTTACAGAACTCCCTTTGGGCCTTTGATGTCACTCAGCAGCAGCATTCACTATATTTTTGATCATACCACATAAAAAAATGACAGAGGACCTCCTCTAGCACTGTTTCAGAAAGTGACAAGAATGATGTGATAAGTGTGTTTTAAATGAGGGGGAGCATTTTTGAGGCACTTTAATTCAGTATGAGTTTTACTGTGTTAAATTTTGAAATTTAAACTTTTACCATATATTTTGATTACACTTTGTACTTAGGTAGAAGAAAAGATGTTAAAATCTGTGGCATTTTATCCTGATTCAATTCAAGTTAAAAATATAAATTGAGATTCTTATTTTTTAGAGTCATTTAAAAATAAAAACATGTCCTGGGCGTTTGTGTGATAGTTTTCAAAGCGTGGAAGCAGAAAGTCGGAAGCATGGAGATTCTGTGTGGAACCTGGAGACAAGTTCTTAGGTTCTCTCCCCCACTGCTCTTCTGCCTTGTTTTATGACATTGCCTCACCGATCCTCATTTTGTTAATTTTTAAACTATGAAATGGATTTACAGTGGTTTTCAGGCTGAAATGAGAACATTGATACAAAATTCTTAGAACTGAATTAGTCATGATTTATACTCTCAGGGGGTTATATCTCAGTATCATTCTGCCTGGTATTTTCACTTGACCATTATTTGATGTAACATAACTGTTTCATAATAAAGACACTTTTATTGGATGTTTATGTATGGCCATTTTGACCGGAGTGTTTTCATAGCAAAAACCAAGTTTTCAACATAATTACCAAGCATTGTTTTATCAGACACCTTCCCCGTTTCATCC